TTCTAATGTTTGATTACTGCCAGATTTACACCACAGTGACAAGTCCATTTCTTGCAAGACAGTTCTGACTTTGGCTACAATTTTTAGTTTTTTCCTTCTTCAAACCAAAAGACCTGCACCATGTAGTTGATCTTGGGGAAAAATAATAATAACAAATTACAGATATAAAGTGTACGATCTCTCACGCATCAAGGACCAGGATCTGTATGTATAAGAGTCAGAGGATAATAAAATACTCTAGCAAGCACCGTTAAAAGAAAATTATTTGGTAAAGATCATCGTTTCTTTGTACAGTCAACACAATCTTTTGAACGTTATGCACGCATTGATTCAGACTTCTATCTCAACCTTTATACTGGACATATTTTTGTTATGGAAAGATATATTCGACCGTAGGTTTTTTACCACAAAAGATTTAAAATGCAGAATTTAAGTGATATGGCTGCTCAGTGATGAGCTAAAAAAGGGAAAATCATTTAACTGGTTGAATGCATGAACAACAACTGTTCCACGCACTAATCCGGCCAGCTAAAGTACATTAGGAATTTGGATCCTTGCCAAGCATTCGGGTTATGGTAAAGAAGTACAGCCACAATACGTTTCAAAATCTACTAGAATGGAAACCGTCCAGCATAGAAAGGTACTTTAGTTGCCAAACAAAGAAGATGCACAGCTTGATCTCACTCTGTAAAAACATGGAAAATGAAACCTGGGCCACATTGTGCCCGTGAGCTTTAGTACAAACAGCCGCAGGATTGGCCGTTGTTTTCACTTGGACCCACCTTGTCGAGATGCATTTTACTCTACTAAACAGATATGATGAGGTGAAAGTAGGAAAAAGAGCAACTTTTTCTTGATGAAAGAGAAGCCTGTCTGGACTTGTGTTTTTCTTGGTTTTAATTGTTCTAAGCAAAGCCAATGTTTGGCAAGTGCAGTTAATCACATGGATCATAACAAATTCTCCTGATTTGCCAGAAGACATCATATAGCTGCGCGAAAAGCACCTCATCGGAGCCCACCAGGCCCTGGCTGTATCTATCCTCCACTGCTATAAATAGAGTGACCATTCTAAGCTCATTCACATAAGAATAAGCAATAGTAGTTTCCTCCTCGTTCACAATTTCCATCACCTCCGATTAACTCTTCTTGAACAATGGCCTCAAACTCGACATGGACCGCTAAGCAAAACAAGCTGTTTGAGAATGCATTGGCCACCTATGACAAGGATACTCCAGACCGATTCCACAATTTGGCCAAGGCTGTGGGTGGGAAGACAGTGGAAGAAGTGAAGAGGCACTATGAAATGCTTGTGCAAGACATAAATCATATCGAGTCAGGGAAAGTGCCTCTTCCCAATTACAGTTCCAATGGAAATAGCAATAAGGAATATCAATATATGCACGAGGAACAAAGGTAACTAATCATCTTAATGTGCGACTACTCGTTTCCATGTTGCATATTTATCAGACGGTGCTGATTTCGACATCCCTTCCATGATCTGCAGTATCTGATTGCATAGATAGTGCTACATCTTTTGAACTTCTAATATTCGCTACGGAGCTAATTTCTAGCCTCGAAGCTACATATCTCTCAAATATACAGGTGACTGATAATATGTCTTCCTTTTCCAGGATGAAGTATCTGAAGCTGCAATAAAGCAAGGACAAAGGATCCAAAGTCGGTTACTTTCGTCTCTTGAACAAATGCAATAATGAAATGACAATTAGGATACCTTGTGACTTTGTCCTTTATCAGTTTGTCTTCCATCAAATCATTGTACCTTATTTTTATGTTCTTTTGCATATAGAAGAGTCATTGAAAAGTGACTTAAAGCTTTCCCCTATTGTGCTGATGTCAAAAGAATTCAAGTTTAGCTGCAAATTTCTGTGTTATATCTTTCTTCTTCCATCGCATCTATGAAATAAGAAACAAGATCAAATCCTGATAATCAAGTATTTATGTTTGAGAAAATGAGTTAAAGACCTAATCATATAAAGATTACTGACATAATCAACCTGCATGTATGATGTGTAACTGGAGAAAATGGAAGATGTAAATGACTCGGCAACCATTTACGGCTGTGAAATTACCAGCGCTGCGATTCACGTAATCTTGCATGCATGACGAATTGGTGATTATGATTGATCAGCAGCTATGCCTTCCTACAATCTTCAAAACGCTAACCACCTACTCTAATTGATCACCAGTAATCTTGGTTCTCAATGCAATTTTGGATATATTATGCTAAAAAAAAAAAAAAAAAAGAAGCAAGTTTGGTTGCACCTATGTGATTTTAGTCTTTAAAGTTTCAGCAAAAATAAATACAGGCTCTAATGTTTGGTATCTAGTATGATATTAGTCCTTAAATTAGTTCTAAAAATAAATCTGGTCCTTAATGTTACCAATTTGAATAAGATTTAGGATAATTGATAGATTTTGCGAGTCACTAACGAAATCAGTCACGTGCAATCATATGTTTGTTAAATTAAACTTCCTAAAAAGAAGAAGAATAGCAATTAACCTTGAACATTAAGAATAATTTACGCCATGGCACGTTAGTAACTAATTAATGAAAAACCAAAAAGAGAAAGAAAGAAAATTTGTTAAACTATACACAAAAGTTACGCATTAGAGTATTTTGCTTGGGAATAGTGGGGGATAGAGAATAAAAACGAGTTTTAGATCGACGAATTGGGTGCTCCAATTAGCTTCAATTTTGTAGTTTAAAATAATTTTTTGTCAGTTAGCACGTAAGTTATTAGTCTTCAATTTTTGTTGTTTAAATTAGCTATTAATGTAGTTTTTATTTTTTTAAATTTAATTTAATGGACACATGATTGGACATGATAAAATTCTATTAGTAGTTGAAAATATTATTCAAATGTCTTAATTTTGCTTTAAATTGGATACATGTAGGACCAGATATGCTCTTGTCAAAACTTTATGTGCTAAAATTGTACTTGTAGAAAACATTGGAACTAGATTTACTTTTGTCAGGACTTCAAGGACTAAATCTATAGAGGTACTAAAAATTGGATATCAAAACTTCCTTACATCTAATTGGCTATATCTTCATGGATATAAGAACAATAGTTATGTGACAAAGATCACTATTCTAAAAGTTATATACACATGTACATATATCATTCGCTTGATAATGATGGATTTAGAAAAGAAAAAATAATGGTTGAGGTTGGCCCGAACTCTGAAATTCTGAGAATCATAAACGTGTCATCTTCATATTTTCCTTGCGTTCATGCTAATTAGAATTACATGCCTTCTGCAATGACTGGACTCCCGATCCAAGATCCTGAGCGATGTGATTACTGAAGGAGATAAGCACAGGAAGGGGGCTTGCAACCAATGTCTACCTATACCTATACAATAAAAGAGACAGTGCCAGTAATGTAATAGCTTATCTTTGTGTCAAATGTATAACCCTTCAGGTATAAATCTAGAACCCAATTTTGCCATTCTAAACTTTTTCTTTCCTTGTTATTTTTGTGGATTAGATGTTGGCAACAGTATCAGCGTTCAATACCTTTCTCATGCGAGTTGACGACAGCCAAGAGCCTATTTTATTGACAACTTGAACTCAATTTTAACCACTAGATTAAAATTACGGGTATCAGCAACATTCAACATAATGAAATGCGACCCATGGCATCGGACTAGATGATCGAAGTCATAAAACTACCGGTAAAGCACACCGGATCCTCAATGCCACTTTTCCAGTGACAATTCAGTGCCACTTCTATATTTATGTCAAGTGTCTTGTTTATTTAATTTATCATGTGCTATTTATTTAAATTTCTTCTATCATCACGTGATAAGTGGAATTGACACTAAATTTGGCACCGAATAGTGGCATAGAAAATCCCAACTGCCAGTAAGGTAACAAAGGTTTAGATTTCTAGAATTAGGCTTAATAACCACTGCAGCCTTTCAGAACTCAATCCCCGCCCTTTGAAAACGACTACAAGGGAAGCAATGGAGGGGGAAATTCTATCCTTCAGTTCCCTAAAATCACCGAACATCGGAGAAAGGCACGCACGATATCAATGTCTATAATTCTTACGAATTCTTAAGCGTACTCAGTCTCAGAGTGAAAAAAGAAACGAGAAGCCTGCATTTCTAATCATCTTACTGAAATACAAGGCGGCATTCCCATTTATTCTTTCCTTCTCGCAACAAAATTCAGCTTTGGAAGGGATTCTGTTGTAGGTGATGATGCTCGAGTTCCAAAGGCAAACGACAACCTTTCTCATTCTATCGCAAGATGTTAAAAACATAGTACAAGAGACATGGTGGCGAGAATGCAGCTTCATACACAAAATCATGAGAGCATTGACAAAAAAAATGCACACGCGGGATCCAGCCTCCAGCAAACTCAAAAGGCTTCTACAGAACCTCCTTTATCAATCTCTCTGTAAGAGTTTTGGGGAGTCCCATCACGCTATCAGTCGCCCCCACCTGCCAAAAGCAGAGGTGATTACCACCTTTGGTAAGCAAAGAACCAAAAACAAGTGCCCAAGAAACGACAGAAAAGTGATGTAGATGCAGATCTTTGGAGGCATTGACATCAAAAGCAGAGTTTGCCTTACCAAAGGACTTAAACCTCCTAAATAGACGGGATCCTAATCTTTTTCGGTATTTCCTCAGCAAGACAACATGATCCTAGTCTGAAGAATCTGAACAAGTGAGGATACCATCTAGAAACACAGCTGGAAAGGTTTCTGGTAATGCTCCAAGCAATGAAAGAAAGCCGTATCATCTATGCAGGCCCATTACAGACAAACACAACGAATTCTATTACGGGAGAAATTTTATAATGACGCTACAATGGTGAGAGGCTGAGAGCTAGTTTATATTAACCAAATACCATTGGTCAACCGCAAGAAGTTCTTTGCCATTTCCATCTCTCTCTCTCTCTGTGGGAGGGTTGCAGTGGCTGGGCATTGAGGAGGTTATTTATCCAAATATTGCTTTTCTTGTCAGAATTTTTTTTTTTTTTAAAAACTGTTACTCGCTTTTAATAGAGAAATTGACTTCCTTTGTCAGAAACAAAAGAGATCCAAGATAACAAAAAAGAGGACCATAATACTAATCTTATCATAAGAAAAGATGAGAAAACAACAAATGACAAACCCAAAAATTAATCTTCTCAGAACATGATGGCCAGTCAGAGTCACAAAGTCAAGACACACTGCTTATTGTACGTGCCCCTTCTACAATGACAAATCAATTTTTAAATTTGAGAAAAAAAAAATCACCCTATGAAATGTATCCAAAATTTCGCCATTGGATGGCAAAGCAGCCAATATAACGACAAAAAAAGAACCAAACTCGGTTGGAAAAGGGCACATAGGGCAAACCAGAAAGGCAGAAAGAGGGAAAAGTTGTTGTTTTGTTGAAGAAGGGAGACGGAGAAATTTGAAATTTGCTGAAAGGGAGAAGAAATAAACGTTTCTTAGATAACCGAGTCAAATTCTATACTTCTAAAAAAAATTAAAGCCAACAATATTTCTCCTTTTTTTTTTAAATTTCCAATAAAAAAGACACTATTTGGGTAGATAACCCTTCAGGTTGTATTCAATTTTGACTCCCATATCTTTCTGTCAAAAGCATGTAGAAATTAATCAGATGCCATCTCAATTAAAACTTCATGAAAATCATAGAAAGCTTGCAGACAAATAGAAACCAACCACTTCTTTTACGTATGGCAATATAAGGGGATGTTCGATGATTAGTGCCCCAGCAACATTCAGCACATTTCCCTCCTTGATCTTCAAAAACAAACAAAGCACATCATTATGCTCATCAAATAACAAATAAATATGCAGGAGTTGGATAAAGGTCATGTACCAAGCTGTCTATCACTTGATCTGGTATGTCCTGGAAACGTATCTGCAAGAGATCATCATTCATCACATGGTTGACTTCATAAAGGTAAATCACAAGGATTTGGAAAACAAAAGTACAAGTAAGCAACCCCCACAAATCAGAGAGGGCACCCTGCTCATCTAAGTTGACACCAACCAAAAGTGGCTCCTTAGGAGAATGTATTATGCATCAGTTTCACTAAGTTCAAAATCACTCAAAAGAGCTCCATACCACTAAAAGCTCCAAACCAAAAGCTTTGTATAGAAATACATGCATATATTGAGCTAAAAGTTCTGTCCTGAGTGTTCTCCAACAAAAGAGTAACAGCCTAACAGGTGATGGAATTCTAGTTCTTCTAGAGAAACAAGCTGACTAAGAATCCATTCTAGCAGTAGCAAGTCTATCTGGTTGACAAAGCTCAGCTAAAAAAGCCAATGCATGTACTTCATTTGATGCGACTAATGTACTCTATAAGTTTTGCAAGGCAATGCATATTAGATCAAGTATATTTGAAATGTTTCTGTATAAATCTTCTTGAAGTCATGTAAAGTATCTGCCACTGGACTTCAAAATGAATTATTAACTAAAATTGATTAAAATCGTACCTCCACTTTGTCCCATTCTCCTTTTCTGATTCCTGACTTGAGGTTGGTAATAACAACAGAACTTACAGTAGCAGCACATCCCCCAGAGTAACCTACAATGTTACCACTTAAGGCTGCCAAAACAATTGAAGAATTTATAGCAAGGATCTGCAAGATTAGGAAGGTTTACCTTTAATGTAGTGGCGTGCTTCATCTTTGCTGGATGGCTTTTCCCTGATATTACCTTCATATACCACCACCTCCAAATCATTTCAATATAGTGGTAAGATTAACCCAAAAGTTCCATTTAGCAAAAAACTACTCAAAGAAATCAGACAATCCTGAATGTTCTAAAAAACATGTCCCACCACCTGAAATCCATATTTGCTCAAGGATACAAAGAGCATGAGGACTACAAACATCTAGTTACCACATACTTTACTGCTAGCACATTTACCAAGATACAGGTGATTAAAGAACACACAAGAATAACAAAATTCAGACACCTTTGACTTGCATGCTTTGACGGAAACAGCATATTTATCTTCTACAAGATATTCATAATCGAAAAAATAACATTTCAAAATAATTATACAATTTCTAGGCAAAATGAACACACGAAGCCATTTGATAAGTAGTGAAACTGGACAAATAGATAATCTTGATAAACTGGCCAAAGTCTCCTGACTTTTGTTTCTCGCTAATATGTTGCTCACAATAAAATAAACTTGCAGTTGAAAGCAAATTACTATTTTTAATTGATGAAGCAGTAAAACAGAACTGTGCACTGCCGTTTAGAATCTCAGATACAAACCATACGGAGTATCGCAACATTTATAAGACATAGAAATTCAGTTAGATAAAAAATCTAACCTGTTTGAAACATAAAGAAGTTGACTGACTACATCGAACATGCCATTTAGATACCAAACTCGTTACTTAAGTCTTTGAAAGCAACTCTCTCATCATTCAATCGTGTAAAGTTTTACAGATGACCAAGAAAATGTGATGTTTCAGTGGATAGTGGAGACTTTCCCAGTTTCAAACTGCTTTTTAGTTGCTATGAAATAGAGCCCATAACTGCCATTCCATGCTCAGTTAATGGGCTTTATGAACTTCCAACCTCTATCTGCTAAGACTTTAAAGGAAAAGCTTCACCTTTAAGTCAACAGGTTGTCAAATGTACAAGTTTTTTGGAATCCATAATACATCAAAAAAAGAAGTTCTCAGTTTAAGTGTACCATATTACCAATTAATAAAACTAAAACTCACCATGATATATCAGCAAATTTCAGTCAAGAAGCTCAGAAAGAAGCACAGTCAACCATTTTTTACATCAATGGCACATATATGCATGTAGATAAGTTACGCTGACAGTAATTTACTAGAAATTAAAGCATAAAAAGAAGACAAAGACAAATCTTACATCAAAGAAATTAGAAAGAACAAGAACATCCAAGAAACATAATGACCATAAAATGTTAAGTTCATGAAGATGTGATATACTTGGTCACATGTAATTAGAAGTGCTGGCTCAGCATCCATGTTGTATTCTTCAATTTGGAGCTTTGGTATGATGGCTTCTGCCTAATAAAAAGTTTGATTAGCTAAAGTAAGTTCCTAAACCATATGATCCTATCAAAGCAGTTCATGAAGCATAGAAAAACCAAATGAGATCCCTACTGCATTGAGACAGGCCAAAAACCGGCAATAGAAATATGACTCTGCCCCATGCATCTATCTTCTGGTTGAAAATTCAGGAAAGAAAAGATGTTAACTCAAAAAGATTTCACAAAGCAAGGCAATTTCGGAGACTAAAACTACAAACATAGGCTCAGTTGTATCCTCGACCAAATTGTGGTAACAGGTTATGGGACATGCTGCACTTACTATCATCGAAGTGGGAAGCACTAATAAAACGGACAAAAATAAGGCACATACTGTGTCTGCAGCAATTAGAATTGTGGGTTTGACATCCTTCCCTTCATTTTGAATATTTTGAAATTTTGATATGATGGCATCTGCCTGAGATGCAATTGCAATTTAGACCACCTCAATCGAAAAAAAAAGTCTAGTTATATTAGACAGCAATAAAAAGCCTATGACTTTTAGTGTTGGGTAGGAAAAGAAATGTACAAGTCAAGTACCTAAGCAGAAAAAGTACAGTTTTTAGTGCACCTTAAGTTCTTTGCACTCATAAAGAGTCAGAAACACCATAACTGAGCACTCAAAAAGGAAAAAAAAGTAGTTTTACCATTTCAAGAACGAAAGGCCTCATCTGCAATGCTTAACAAATTGACATATGAATTTACCCAGCAAATTTTTGCAACTCCAACAAAAGTTCAAAAAATGTACCTTTGCCTCAGCAAGAGCCATGACCAACTCCTCTGGCTTTTCTTTCCGTATGGCTTTCTCATCTATATCTGCAGACTAGAAAAACAACCACCAGGTCCATCAAACTGAAAATATCTACACAAACATAAGCTGAAGAACTCTAACAAAAGGAGGGATCCCTTAAGCAGCACGGCATACCATTGTAGTAAATTGATATCCCATGTCAGCCAAAATCTTTTTGCGGGCAACAGAAGATGATCCCAAGATTACCTGCGACAAGAAGTAACAAGAATATCTCAAAAATTTCAGCAAATCTACTTCAATAATGAAACAGAACACTTTCAATATAGAAAACAAAACAACAATGCTACTACATCCCACCGCCTTGAATTTAAAAGCAGGATTCATAATTTACCTTGAAATTTGAGTTGGGATTTGGTTCCATATCTTGGGGAGTCGAGCTTTCTTCCTCCACTAGCAGAGCAGCAATAGAATGCAGGGAAGGATGGTGCAAAGAACAAAAGGTCAGTTTCGGGTTGGCCAATAACGGAACCGGAATTGCTACCGGTAACCGAGGTTGAGAATGGCCCAATTTGGATATTACAAACCTAAATATAACAGATTAGTTAGCCCAATTGTACGAGGCCCATTCTACTTTTTAAAATCTGACCCAATTATTGTTCTGAACCTTTGAAGCAAAAATTTCCCTTCAAAGTTTATTCTCCATTCTCCATTTTTTTGTTTTTATAAAAATTACAGAGGACAAGGAATTTTGTTAACAATATCATCATTGCTCTTAATCAATCACGTTGGATTGCATTTTTTTTATATATATATTTACAAAGAGAATTTTGTTAATAAATTGCTGAAAATCGTCCAACACGATCTGATTTGCATTACAGAAATATATATTAATGGCAGGTTAAACGCGCGCATTTTTTTTCGATTGAGCATATATTGCGATTCTAAACTCAAAAATTGAGACGATTGTCCTCTTCAGTGAATTATTGCTTTTGGGAGAAAACAAAAGGATAGTCAAATGTGAATTGTGAAGTATAATAACGTCGAAGACGTTTATCGGTTTTACTCTCAACAGTCCTTTTAAATTCAATAGTTCCAGACAACCGAGTGATTTATGCGGACAAGTTATTTCTTTGCTTGATTGATTGGTAATTCCATTTTCCAAAAAAATTTCACCCTCCAAAACTACATTTTGTGAGATTGAATTTAAAACTTTTTAAATTCTCGGATCTCTATAACTTTTTTTTTTTTTTTTGTCAGCAACGATACATTTGTATAACCTACTCTATCCTAATTTAAGGGGGAGGGGAGCCTGAGGAGGCTGTGGAAGGGGCTAGTGGGTATACAGACCCTACTAGACCAAGGGAGTGCTATGGCACAACTCTTAGAGTTTTTAACGGGATTGGAAAATACAGCAAATACAAGTTTTTCTAACATCAAAAACCTTGGAGACATAAATTTTGGGCGGGTCGTGATCTGGAATCAGATTCTGACATGATATGCGAAACTTCGTCGTCACAAACGCAGGCAAATGGTCAATTTCCACCTCGCTGGCAACTTCGGATGTTGATGGTGGCAAGGCAATGCAATGCGGATCTTGTCAATGAATCAAGTACAAGTACTGATTCTACTGATGGTGTGGAAACGATAATGTATGATGGCATGGACGTGGTAATATTTGCATTTGCATACCAATATATTTTATGAGATTTTTCCAGATATCTGCATTAATGTACGGACACCTACTGACGGAGAGGAAGATAAAATTTAGAAAGTGCTGGACAGCAATAAGAACAAAAGGATTGGAGACAAAAACGAGAAGGACTACGTCCTCCAGCTCTGCTAAATTTATGTGGAGACAAACCTACGGCCCACCGGGTTGTACGGTTGAAAGTATGAGCTGGTGATTTTTTATTTTTTTTTTCAACAACAACATAATATTTGTATAATCTACTCTGTTCTAATCTACTAGAGAAGGAGGAGAAAGAAGTCACAAATAGTGATAGGTGAGAGTCAAAATTCGAACCCCTAAACCTCATGTCCAAAACCAAGACTTTAAAGTCTATTGTGGTGGTGGCTAACAAACCAAAAGGCTATTGGCACAGCGAGTAATTACTTGCTCTTGCAATTTCGCCGGCTATTATTATTGCCATAGTAGCGGAGAAAATATTAACCTATCCCAAACTAAATAACACTGCTATCACCGTCGAAGATACGACAACTCATTTGAATTTAAATTTTGCTCATATATCACGCATTCAATTGTAATAGAGGATATATACTGCCAATACATATAAGCTTAACTTCTTTTTATATAGTATATGTGAAATAAAAAATATGATCAAATAAATAGAAAGATTATTAAAAAAAATATGTGTTTGTAATACAAGTACAACCATTATTTCAAATAATCATATATCCAAACACTCTTTGGGTAGTGCTTTTTTTTAAAAAAAAAAAAAAGAGAGAGAACTATTGGAGTTATCAAATTAGGTACATTTTCAACTGCATTGATGATGCATCTCATCATCATCAATTACAAATTTACACTACATTTTTCAGGAAGTGATAGTTACATTTTCAAACTAGTCTCTTGAACTCTTTGAAGGCATATTATTTAGTGAGTGAATTGTTGCATTAGAGGCTGAAATTAGAGGGCGAATGCCAAACCTTAACTAACATCTTAGGGCAGCAAAGGGGTTTTTGATAAACGTTTGCTTAGTCAAGGGATTAGACTGGGAGTGTTTGGATACAAAATTTATCCCAAATAATATTTCGCTTGCATCATAAACATATTTTTTAACCCACATTTTTATATTTTCAACCACCTTTTTATCTCACATACATCACATCATAAAAAGTGCTACAGTAATTATTTCAAATAATACCATATCCAAACAAACCCACTCACTGTTATTTGATTAAACCTCAAGGTTTGACTGGTAGTTTGGCTAGACCTTAGAGGAGGTAAATGTAATTAACCCTATATCAAAAGGTAATTAATCTCAATTAGAAGCTAATCTTTTCAATTCTCTAAAGTCAATGCACACAACTCCATCATCCCTCACGTGCTCAAAGATTGAATAATGAGCATTAGACTATTGTATAGTACAAACAAAATAAGTAATTAGACCGCAACAATAGTACTAGTTGCATTCCATCTGTAACGACACAATTAATAGAGGTGGTTAAATAATCTCTGACTCGGTCATTTTCCGCTAAGTCATTTACTGCCTTCGGCCCATAGGAGGGAGCGCACGTTGCACGTTTCCCGTTTAAAAGTAAGTTATTTTTCCTTATCGTCTACATCAAACAGAAACAGACGTAACCGAATAAGTGCCTTAAATGGCTGCAAAAAACAATTTAAAACTTGACAAAGGTTAGAACTATTTTTTATGTTCCGGATACTAGAATTGGGCTCTGTGTGTGTATATCCAAGCGAAAAAACTGTTCAAAATGCCACTCATATTTTGTCAAATAAAATTTTTCATCCTTTATTTTTAAAAAGCAAATTTACATCCCTTATAAAATCATATTGATAAAATTTTAACCCAACTTAAATTTTGATTATTTGTTACCTTGAATTCATCACATAACCTATACATGATATTTTTAAAAAAAAAATAGAAAGATTAAATTCCATTTGAAGTTCAACAAATAACCTGATTCATATTTGAAGTTCAGCAAATAATCACTTTTGCTCCTGAAAAAGTGAATTTGATCTAAATCATATTTATTTTTCTCCTAAAAAATTGGAATCTAGCAAAAACCATATTCATTTTTGCTACTAAAAAGTGAAATATGATTTTTCTTGTATATAAAAATAAGTGCATATGAGTCATATGATGATTTAGGCTAAAAAGTGGTCGGAAGCTTAAATAGAAATCGAATTTTATTAATTTGAATTTATAATGGACATAAAATTAATATTTTAAAATGAAATTTTCTAAGAATTCTTACAATACTTGTTTACACATCTCATGTTCACCTAACCTACTATATATATGTATACTAATAATTACTTATTCTTTCATTCATTTATATATTTTTTCTATTTAATTTATTTATTTATTTTTGTATTTATTTACTTTCCTTGATTGATCTTATATTTTCAAAAGTATAATATTTGAAAAATATTTTATTGAGTGTCCTATGGATACATTAGACAAGCCGTATCAAAATTGTGGGAAAATGTGATAGATATTTTCAACGATTTTGTTTGACCGCTACTGTATCCACCCAACTCAACTCGGACACCCGAACCGGTATAATCTCAGAGTCAGCGGCATCCAGCGGCAGGCCCACAGCTACAGCAAGCAGGAAGGATAGAGCAGCAGCCCTCTTTTTTTTTTTTTTTCTTCACATTTACAATAAGTCGAACACCTTCAAAGCTCTTCTCGTGGTCTCAGAAAGCTTTGTTGGATTTGGATAAATCCGACGTACTACTGTAGCAATTCATATCCTCGATTCATCTGCTCTGCCCATTCTGCCCTCCCCTCCCTCCCATAACCATCTTTAAAGGGAATCATCAAAATCACCACTCCATAATTTTTTTTTTCCGGTCAACTGATTCTTCTTGTAGTCCCAGCTTTGGAGTAGCCGTCAATATCCCACCGCCAATGGAAGCAGGCGGCAATGCTCCGGCCGACACCAACCCAACCGCCAGAACCAGTGCCAGGGTGGGAGTTCAGATCCAGCAAAGCAGGAGACTACCCGATTTCTTGCAAAGCGTTAATCTGAAGTACGTTAAATTGGGCTACCACTACTTGATCTCTCACTTGTTGACACTTTGTCTGGTTCCCGTGATGATTATCATATTAATTGAAGCTTCCCAAATGAACCCAGATGATATTCGCCAATTATGGCTTCATTTGCAGTATAATCTGGTTTCTGTAATCACTTGTTCGGCCATTTTGGTTTTCGGGTCAACGGTTTATATAATGACCCGGCCAAGGCCGGTTTACTTGGTCGATTATTTTTGTTATCGAGCTCCCGATGAGCTTAAAGCTCCATTTGAGAGTTTTATGGAGCATTCCAGGCTTACTGGGGATTTTGATGAATCATCCCTCCAGTTTCAGAGGAAGATCTTGGAGCGTTCTGGGCTGGGGGATGAGACTTATGTCCCTGAAGCTATGCATTTCGTTCCTCCCCGCCCGTCTATGCAGGCTGCCAGGGAGGAAGCTGAGCAAGTGATGTTTGGGGCATTGGACAATTTGTTTGCCAATACTAAGGTTAAGGCCAAGGACATAGGAATTCTTGTTGTCAACTGCAGCTTGTTTAATCCCACGCCTTCGCTTTCGGCTATGATTGTGAATAAGTACAAGTTGAGGGGTAATATTAGGAGCTTTAATTTGGGTGGGATGGGGTGCAGTGCTGGAGTTATCGCGGTTGACCTTGCTAAGGATTTGCTGCAAGTGCATAGGAATACGTATGCTGTGGTAGTAAGTACAGAGAATATTACGCAGAATTGGTATTTTGGTAATAAGAAGGCTATGTTGATACCTAACTGTTTGTTCCGGGTTGGGGGTGCCGCGGTATTGTTGTCTAACAAGTCAGTAGATAGGAGGAGGGCCAAGTATAGGCTCGTCCATGTTGTGAGGACTCATCGGGGTTCGGATGATAAGGCCTTCCGTTGTGTTTATCAGGAGCAGGATGATGCTGGGAAGACGGGGGTTACTTTGTCCAAAGATCTCATGGCTATTGCTGGCGGGGCTCTTAAGACCAATATTACCACTTTAGGTCCCCTCGTGCTGCCAATCAGCGAGCAGCTTCTGTTTTTCCGCCACTTTGGTGCTTAAGAAGTTGTTCCAGAAGAATATCAAGCCTTACATCCCTGATTTCAAGCTGGCATTTGATCATTTCTGCATACATGCTGGGGGAAGGGCTGTGATTGATGAGCTGGAGAAGAATCTGCAGTTGCTACCAGAACATGTGGAGGCATCCAGAATGACCCTCCACAGGTTTGGGAACACTTCGTCGAGCTCCATTTGGTATGAGCTCGCATACACCGAGGCCAAGGGAAGAATACGCAGGGGCCAGCGAATTTGGCAGATTGCATTTGGGAGTGGGTTCAAGTGTAACAGTGCGGTGTGGCAGGCACTCAGGCATGTAAAGCCGGCTCCAAATGGTCCCTGGGAGGATTGCATCGACAGGTACCCCGTCAAAGTTGTTCAATAGCAGCGGAAGAAATCAGTCGTAGATCTTAGCAAATTCAGAGTACTGCCATGCCAACCAGAGCCAGTTGTTGGTCTTTAAGTTTTGTTCCTTTTGTTCCTCGTGTGATTTCTTGGTCTGAGCGCTGAATATGATAGGGCAGTTTCTGGCCTGCGTCCGCCTTTATTTTTGCTTGAATCAATCAATAGTAGTAGTACCGTTGACACCTGAATTGCTTTGCTAGTCGGGTTGTACTATAATTTACTGCTGGTTCTTTTTATTATTATTACTATTATTATTATTTAAATCCTTCTTCTTCCCTTCCATCCATGCATGTTCGTAGATTCACATAATTTTGGGCTCTTGATGCCTCGTGCAACCTTTTCCTATTCAGCTTCTTTGCCAAGTTTAAGGTCGCCTGCGGTTCATTTTCAACGCTAGCCTAAGTAGCCTTCGTACCTTAATATCATTAGTTGCCAAAAGAACATGCAGATTATTGCTGCTGCTAAGCCAGATGAGTTCATTTTGCGCAGCAACTTGCCGCAGACTTTTTCAAAAATATTGGACATCCCAGATTGTGGAATGCTGTCGTTTAATGGTTGGTTGCTAATATGCTATTCCTTTGGATGATCACCAGTGGTGAAATGCTCAAATGCTAGGAGCTTTACCGTTAGCGTTGCTTGCACTTTCCAAACGGGAAATGCCAACTCCTGTGGACCACATGACTTTGGATTTATTGAGGGACAGGAATCAGGCATGTTCTGGAAACAGCCTGTGGACAAAGCTGGAAGGATCAGCGTCGTTTCCAACTTTGCTGCCTCCGATGGAAATAGCCGTCTTTTTAAGTCACAATGCTGAATTTGACGATCGGGTTCGATGGTTCTGTTTGACGAGTCCTACCGCCTGCACATGCACATGTGTACGCGCAAAATTCTTGAATGTAACTTTTGTTGCTATTTGTAATTTGTGGTTGGATGCAACTTATTTTATTATATTTGAATTCCATCTACTGTCCCCTGGCCTGCAAAATTCTTGAATGCAATTTTTGTTATTTGTAATTTGTGGTTGGATGCAACTCATTTTATTATATTTGAATCCCATCTACTATCACCTTGTTTTGACGTTTACAAATTAACATCGGATGTGTTATGGTCACATATTAACGCACCTGCGGCTCACCTAACTTATCATGTATATATACAGGCACTAACAATTACTATTTTCTTTTACATTTATACACTTGTCCTAGTTATCCCCTATATTATATATATATATATTTTTTCTAATTAATCTTATATTTCTAAAATTCTAACACTTGAAATACATTTTAACGGATATTCCAGACCGTATATTGAATACTTATTAGGTAAGCCGGGGGGGGGATGACTAATTTCCTTCAAATCTATTAGGATTTTGGTCTAGTTTTAGACATAAGTAAATTTGAAACGCGTGGATCTAAATTTACGAGTTTCAATCCAAATTCTTTCCATTGAGATTGAGATGCCGTACAACATTTGTCACCCTGCTTGATCATGAAACTAAGTAAAGTTCTTGCGATGCTCCATAAGAAGAGAGGACAATTCAGAGTTGTGATGATGAAGTATGACTTCACAACAATTCAGGTGTTTGTGTTTGACTGGCATCAGGCTCATCCTCTGCTTTTAAAATGTCTCTCTCTTTCTCCCTCAAGCGCAAATCAATGACATAAGCATTGAATTTTATTGTGCATTAAAAATAGACTTTTCTGTTAACTAGAAAGGATTGTAATAGTAGTATTGATTTTTTTTTTTATGAAAAAAAAGAGAAAGGATTGCAATATTAGCAGAATGTATTTTATTCAAGGACGAAAACGAAGCATATTATTAGCACTGTACTAAGAGGGATACCTACTCGTTCAGATTTGTTTATATTTGGTCTTGATATTTATTTTTCCTGTGGAGACTTGTAATTTTTCAATTAAAAACTACTAGAATTACCAGCTATAAGTAAACCTTTTTGGAGCAATTACCAGTAGATTAGGAAACTTTTTACCAAAAAGGAAAAAAAAAAGATTAGGAAACCAAAAAAATCTTTCCTTTTTTTTTTTTCCAATTCCTCTTGAATGCCTGTCCAAATCTTCAGTTGTGGATGATATGACAACTCAGAGTCGTGAATGACTGAACTAAGTAGGGATGGCAACGGGGCGGGGACCCCTCCCCCATCCCCCGCCCCGCTACTTACAAACTCCCCCCGCCCCCGCCCATCCCCGCCTCGCCCCTGTCCCGCCCCGCTTCCCCCGCGGGATTAATAAAATTTTTTCCGCTAGGTTAATAAAATTTTATTATAGTTAAATTTTAATAAATAATCAAATACTAAAATATCAACACATCATCAAGTTATTATTCATTTTAATTTTACAATTGAAACTCATAAAAACAATCAAACAAAAATTATTTGAATACAATCCAATATGATGAAATAAATACAACTAAAATAGTTAAGTTTTCACTTTTGATACAAATACAATCACTAATTCATTATTATGTTTGTGTTTTTTTTTAGAAAAAGTGTTATTCTATTAAGTATAATTAGAAATTTAGTATAAATGTATTAGTAAATTTAGTATAACTAACTAATAAATTCTATTAGTAGACATGTCTAATTATTCGTATAATTGATAATATTAATTATATTACATACACTAATATACATTATATAATACATTTAACTAATAATATCATTATCATAAGTTTATAACTAATTAAATTACATATTATATATAATTATATATATAATTTTTTTTTGCGGGTGGCGGGCGGGGAATGGGGCGGGGGTATACTCCCTGCCCCGAGAGCCCCCCCCCCATTGCCATCCCTAGAGCTAAGCCACCACCAAAGTTGGTGGGGTGGGAAGTCAGGGGATCAAACCCTGTCTCCCATCATTGGCCACAAATATGGCAAGCTGCTTCAAGTGACTTCCAGACGAGTGCGAGTCCTCTCCGGTTTTCCCTCGACCTCTTCAGGTCTTCCCCTTCCCTTCCCGTAACATAGAATAATTGTAGGTCTATCGTATCGACAAAACAAACAAAACTCAGAGTAGAGGATTTTGAAGTATTCTCCTTGTAATTTTTCCATCTTTTAGTCTCTCTCTCCTTTCTGTAGGTATTACCCTATTCTTCATTTTATTGCTCTCTAATTACATAAAAGAATGACAAAATACGAGTTCAAGTCAATGGCATTTTTCTTATTCTTGGATGATATTGATAGCTTCCAAGTATCCTGTGGAGAGTTGACACCTGCAAGCATTATTATTTTTTCCAAAATTATTAAAAGAGATGAGGCTACAGTTCCAGTAAATATACTATGGAAAACCAGTCCCTCTCAAGTATCTGGTGGAGGGTTGAAGACTTTTTATCTTGGATGATAGCTTGCAAGTATCCGGTGGAGTATTGAAGCTTGCAAGCATTAATATCTTACAATATTATTTAAGAGAGATGAGGCTACAATTCAACTAAATATGCTATGAGAAACCGATCCCTCTTAAGTACCCAAAAAAAAAAAAAAAAGAAAAGGTCTTGCAAGAAACCAAATATTTGCGACGTATAAACGAATCCTTACCAGCCAGAGATTTCCGTACTCGTATAATTGCTTAAAATGACCGTGCCAAAATAATTGGACAGAAATAATTAATTTTTTTTTCTCCCCTCTTTCTCATTCCCACTTTATGGCCTTGTTTTTGCTTGTTTTAGATTTTACATAAGCTTGATTATGGAAAGTAATTATAGAGAATAATGAGAATCAGCAAAAGCCGCTTTTTAATACAGCACGAATTTCAACCTTTTCGACTATTAAAAATTCTATAACGTTAATGCAAAGGCAAATAGAAATATGGAAAAAAAAACTAATTATTTCGAAATCATATTTTATAATCAGCCACAATAATCAATGGATAAATGAACATGGCACATCGCTTCTTATAATAAAGACGTGGACCATGTACACGACTATATATTTCTTCAAATTTAGCTTTCACAGAGAGCTAGCCAAGGGCAAATTATTTCCACGTTTTAGAGATATTAAAAAGAAAAATCTCACTGCTGGAAAGTTCTGATGTTTCGAGGCTCATAAAGATAATAATGGCTACGCATGCCTTTGGAGAAGGTACAAGCATCTAAATGACAATGCAACCAGTCAATGTGCAAAAAGGACTTACCGCAGTAGCAATGAATTTGGAAGAAGCAATTTGCCAAGCATTATTTGTGACTGCTGTAGATCTAAATTTGACACTATAAAGAGGGCATATTACACAACACAAGAACTGCCCCATATGGATAAGAAGACAACAACAACAACAACAAAAAGAAATGAGGAAAGAGGGAAAAATTTTAGCAAAAAAGGAGGAGGAGGAAAAAGTGGTAGAAGAAATGCTGTCATCTGAATGAAAACTGTATCTCCTCTAGCGTTTTTCCTTTTGTCTCAGGAACCCAGAGCGCCACGAACACCAGCGTGAAGGCGCACATGATCGTGAAAAAGGTGAAAGTTCCTGAGGATAAGCAAGAACAATTTAAAGGACGAAGGTTACAATGATTCATCACGATACTATGTCAAAAACTCCACAGGGTTTCACTCAAATAACCATAGACGACACACTTGATTACCAATTTCTTTCCTAATGCGGTCACATAAGCAATCTTGCATCAGTAATAGTGCAATATGTCGTTCACTATCTGCATAATTTACCATATTGGCCGCGTGCAACCTTTACCATGTGTGGACTCACCGTAAATTATTACACATAATGCGTTTTTCATAAACCCTGATCGAATTTCTGCTTCTTTTTTTTTTTTGGATGCAACCATGTACCGAGAATGAGCATATATGAATACGTGGAGATGCACGCATATAGAGCGAAAAATACTAACCTCCATCACTCCAAGACAACAGCAAAGGGGTACTCATTGTAATAGCCCAGCCAACCAACCAATTGCCTAGCGTAGCTACACTTCCAGCAAGGCCTTTGATTTTGACGGGAAGAATCTGCAATGTTATTCCGAAGAAAATCAGTCAGACGGTTTTCATGAGGTTGAATTGTGCGCGTGCACGTTTTTTCTTTTTCTTTCTTTTTTGGAGCAAAGTAATAGCTTGTATTAAGATAGAGGACTGAAGTTTACACGGGAGATCTGCTGAAGTACATCATAGACTCTCAAAAGACAGCCAACCTATTCTAAACACTGAATAGGAGGCCCCCATTCAATCGCTAAGTTCTAATTTTCCACATTCCTAGGATTCTTTCCCCAGGAGAGCACTATGAGACTGAATTGTGTTGGTGGCAGAATCATATAGATCATGCATAATATATTTCTCTGAAGTTAACTCTCTGATTCAAAATGATAGAAGTCGTAACGTATTGAGGATTGTAGTCTTCTACCCTCTGCTATTTTCTTCTGTTTGGAACTAGAAACAAATGACAGGAATAAATTCCCTGCTTAAGAACTTGGTTCGTGCTTGAAAAGTCAATCACTAAAACAAGAAGTATTTCCAATGTATGTTCTCTACTTGCTCTTTGGATTTTCAAGGAAACAAAATAGATGCCCCATCTGAAAACCCAATTGATACAAAGAGCTCTTTTCAGGCTAAGGTTTTCACAGGATAATGTTTCTGCCACCAACCATACGCAGCTCAGTGTTACTCTCTTGTTTCAGAGCTGTAGATGAGCACCATCTAAAAGAAGTAAAATAGGACATGAGTAGGCAACCCTGAAGCTGACATCTGACTCTGGCAAAGCTACCCAAGGTTGCAAAACACAGCCTCTTGGCCAGTTTTTGAAATAGGAACAACTCTTTGAAGGAGAGATTTGACAGCATATGAAAGGGAAGAGAACCACAGGTCCCTGAAGTTCAGATGCAGGAATGAAAGTCTATTCCACACTCCAATAGAAAACTGAAGAAAAGACAGAAAGAAAGGTAGAACAAAGGAATCCCTCAAAGGTGTCTCTTCATGTACAGCTCAGAACAGTAGACATCAAACGGAGATCTGAAGGTCAAGTGCAGT